AGACAAATATTTTATAAATAATATTGGATCTACTCGCTTGGTATTGTTATAACTGAAAAAATATTACCTATTATTATTAAATTAGAGTCTCTATTTTACTTATATCCATTCATAATCTTTTTTAATTAAAGTGTACTTGCAAGGATGGCAAATCTTCATAAAAAAGATCTTAATTAAAATGTAACTTTTTAATTACTCTTGAACATGGAATCTTTTAAGTTTATATTATGGACACACCCTTCAACTACAGCCAAGTAAGTGCATTTTGCTCCTTAATTATGGATATGCGCAGAACCTAGCATCCTTATATTTGAATAAAATGTATATAAATATGAATCATAGTGTAAACTGTTCATTGGCTCATTTTTCAATATGTATAGATTGCCAATATACAATATAAGTGGTTTAAATAAATGTATTTTATGTAATCCAAATGGTTTCGACAGCAACTAGTTTCGCTTCAACACTGGAACTATCTTCAGGCATTACAAGGACCTTGTCGCTTCTTCAAAAGGTCGTCGTGTTTTAATATTTTTAATGTTTCGATGTTTTGTGGTTTTTTGTGTGAACTGAGACGACCTTCTCTAGAAGCGACAATGTCCTTGTAGAACCTGAAGACTGTTCCAGTGTTGAACCGAAACTAGTTGCTACCGCACCCATTAGGATTACATAAAATCACTTCATCTACGATAAAATAGAGGTATTTAATACATTTTAATATTGTTCATTTTTACCGGACGTGTTGAACTCGGCAAACGTTTGATAATATATTTTGTAACCGTCTTCTTATTTCATTACCGCTGATTAAAGTTATGAAAATAGTGTAAATGATACGTTAGAATATTAGGTGGAAATAGTCCATAATATTTCGTCGAACATGCCAAATTAAACATCTTAAAATACAAAATGAAAGTATACACATACATTTTACCGGTGCGTCATAAGAAAATTAAATTCATAAAATATAAAAACTAAAAACAAAAATGAGGTTCACAATTTACATACTCCTCAAATATGACTGTGAAACGACGAGGGATCATATTAGGTAATTAAATTGTGTTATGGCGTAGTAGCCTCTGAATCACTAAATTTGAACTAAATGATTTGTGTTTTCTTGTTTCGTTCCTTCATCCTTTGTAGTACACTACTATTATTTCAGACTAATGGAGTCCATCATCACACCCCAGTTGATTCTCACACCTGATGATGGACTCCAGAAGTCTTAAAATAATAGTTGAGTACTAACTACAAAGGTTGAAAGAATGAATGAATGATTCAATGAAAATTCTTCTTTATTGAAGTAAACTTATATCACATATATTTTACCGGTGCGTCATAAGGAAATTAAATTCATAAAAATATAGAAACTAAAAACAAAAATGAGGTTCACAATTTACATATTCCTCAAATATGACTGTGAAACGACGAGGGATCATATTAGGTAATTAAATTGTGTTATGGCGTAGTAGCCTCTGAATCACTAAATTTGAACTAAATGATTTGTGTTTTCTTGTTTCGTTCCTTCATCCTTTGTAGTACACTACTATTATTTCAGACTAATGGAGTCCATCATCACACCCCAGTTGATTCTCACACCTGATGATGGACTCCAGAAGTCTTAAAATAATAGTTGAGTACTAACCACAAAGGTTGAAAGAATGAATGAATGATTCAATGAAAATTCTTCTTTATTTGAAGTAAACTTAGGTCCTCATGTCCCTTCCTTACAGTTAATTCTGTACCTCGTAACAGAATTACCTCTGTAAGGTTCACTCGATGAAGCAAGGTAGCTTAAACCATTTAGCTCAATAATTGTAGCATTACTTGGAATTAATAAGGCAACTAAATTGCTTAGATTATTATTATAAATCATACAGATTTTATCTTCTGCAAATCTAATTGATATAATATCTGTTGATAACTACGAGACAGAGATCACTTCTATCTATGATTAATTTTAAACTAATTGCTACGCCCTTTCATTATACATGCTACGACTAGTTATTATATAACCATAGCGTTGAATACATTTTATAGCATCAATGTAAATGAACTATTATAGTGATTTATATTACATTGTTACTGTCAAAACGATCCGTTGTGGTTGGTCCTTATCGTTTCGACAGCAACAAGGCAATTTAAATCACTATATAGTTAGTTCAGACGATCCAGAGGACATTCCACCATGAAAATGTAAATTGAATCGTTCCAACATTAACATAAAATATTGGAATATATTCAAATGTGTAGTGAAAGATCCATTTGTAACAATGTCGTCTATTGTGAGTGATAAATGTGTTTAGCCTTAAGCTAGGACGACCTCATTGAAATTAAATAATTAATATGAACACTCTTTTATGCACAATCATGTGTTAAAGATACAAATAATTTTTCTCACTATCGTATCTTAATGCATACAGGGTGTCCTTAAGTAAACAGCCAACGATTTTTAGTTGTAAAATGGCAGAAGCTAGTCAGGTTTACCCCATTTTACAACTAAAAATCGTAATATTTCAGCTATTTCTTATTCGATCTTTTTGAACTTGGTATTATTTGATAGGGAATAAATTATAAATTCCAAATAAAAGTGTACTTAGCATTTTCTTTTCATAAAATTAGCCCTTTTTGTGTAATTTAAGTTTAAAAAATTAAAATGACCACCATTTTGAAGTTTTAAGTTGAATCAAGATGATTTTTTCCAGCATGGGGCTTTTGTACCTTAACCTACATACCAAGTTTAACCTGGCATATACAAAATTAACTTGCACACTTCTACATAGGTCAGACAGGATGCTCTTTTAAATCTAGATTCAAAGAGCACATTCAAGCTCTTAAGAGTAACAACAGAACATCCATGAAATCAAACTTTGCTGAACACCTTTTATCGACCAACCACAATTACACAAATAAAAAAAAAAAAAAATGAAAATTCTAAAAGTTTTAAACAAAGGAAATCGAATGGCTTCAACTGAAGAATATTTCATATACGATGAAAATCTTAAAAATCCAAATCATATTTTAAATAGCCAAATTCCTTCAAGAAACCCAATCTTTGACCAAGTTTTAGAATTAAATAATCAGTAACAAAAATATTTTTCCAAATCCTGTCTAATTCTATAAATCATCTGGACATCTAAATTATATGTATTTATATACAAACAATTAATATAAACAACAGTTAAGTATTTAATGTATGTATTTGAAGTTTGAAAATGGACTTATGTCTAAAACATGTCACTTCTTATAAAAATATAATATTCAGGGTGCTCAGTTGTACTTATTTACTACAATAATTTAACAAGTTTAATAAATATCAGTTGAAACATCCAAAAATAAAAATGTTTATATAAAATTTACAAAATGGCGGATATCTGGTTAACGAAGCAATTTTGGAAAAGATGTTATTCTTGATTTTCTCTTTATTATGACCCATAGAACCATTTCCCGGAGCTTGGCTGTTTGATTACGGGACACCCTGTATATTATAAGTAGGCCAAATCTATTTTATTTAGCCAATATAGAATTCCCGTTACAGCCTTTTTGGCTTCTCCGCCCCATTGACGTTGTTTAAGTTAGTATGTTTGTTGAAAGTTTCTAGGTATCGAACAAGTAAACAAAACACAAATATTTGAATTGACTTCGATGATTGAGTTTGCATATAAATTCAATCTGGAAAAGTAAATTCACTGAAAGCTGATGGGAATAAGTTTGCCTACGGACCTTGCTTTTCAGAACAGTAAATAACATAAACGAATGAAACATAAAAATTCAGGTTACGTGTTTAAAATATTTTGAATCTCACTCGGGAATTGAAGATAGTGGAATGAAATCAGCATTTTTTTTAAATATCGTTCAGAATATATAACACCAGAATATATAACCACCCATGGTGGTTTTCTACTGATTCAATTTCACTGTACAATGAAAATCAAATCAATATAAATTTAACGTGGCGAGTTCACTTTCCACAAATTTGGAACCATTGAACCCAGGAATAGTATGTTTATAGAGATTTACTAATTATAGTCAATAAAGTAAGAATTTATCTTCTTTAATAATTAACTAAGTATGCAGCAGTTCAGATGCATTTCAAGCTATCTTCAATAGCTAACTTAGTATTCAGCAGTTCAGATGCATTACAATCTATCTTCAATAACTAACTTAGTATGCAGCAGTTCAGTTGCATTACAAGCTATCTTCAATAACTAACTTAGTATTCAGCAGTTCAGATGCATTACAAGCTATCTTCAATAACTAACTTAGTATTCAGCAGTTCAGTTGCATTACAAGTTATCTTCTTGAATACTTTAGTACTTTACAATATTTAACTTAGTATGAAGTGGTTTAGTTGCATTACAAGCTATCTTCAACAATTAACTTAGTATGCAGTAGTTCAGTTGTATTACAAGCTGTCTTCAATAATTATCTTAGTATTCAGCAGTTCAGTTGCATTACAAGTTATATTTTTTAATACTTTAATACTTTTCAATAATTAGCTTAGTATGCAGCTGTTTAGTTGCATTACAAGTTATCTTCAATAATTAAATTAGTATTCAGCAGTTCAGATGCACTACAAACTATAAAAAAATTAAAATGAGATTATTAATTTTCATTCGGAATGTGGGCAAAAAAATCCATTAATAAAATATAGACAAGAGTTTTTGAGTGGAGTGAGCGAAGCTCTTATACGTTGACTCGTATGCATTTCGTAATACACAAACTCCACCTAGACAGGCTGATGATGTTCTAGGTGTAAGCACTATTAGATGTATTTTTAGAAGCTATTTTAGATGCATCGTACTGTTTCTACAAAGGTTAGGCCTAAGTCGTTAATGTACAAGCCCCACAGGCTAGCAAGACAAATTTGTATCCACGTTTTTTTCTTTGTGCAGGCCCCACATAGGCTAGCAAGACCAATTTTTTCCACGTTTTTTTTTTTCTTTTTGCAGGCACTACATGGGCTAGCAAGACCAATTTGTATCTGTTTCTTCTCTGTGCAGGCCCTACAGTTCGGGGTGACTCGGGGGAAAAGACCGGAGATGGTGCAGTGTCAAGTGCTCAAGGAGAAGGAGATCAGACACTCTTTCGAGATCTCGACGTTTCTGTTCTTCGTGCTGCCGATGACCGTCATCACGGTGCTGTACGCGTTGATAGGGCTGCGGCTGAGGAGGTCTGCGCTGCTCAAGAAGACCTCTGGATCCTTCAGCCGTCACCAGGAGACCAACAGGAGCGTTTGTAGGTCTGCCAGCTCCCGTCGAGTGCTCAAGATGCTAGGTAAGTTGCTTGGATTGGGTTGGAGTCTTACACACCATTTTGTCAGGCATGAGTAAACTGCAAGTGTTAGATGAGAGATAATAACAGAATTGTTACAGACTAAGATCAGCTAGTTGTTTGGCCTTCGTTTATTAAAACACAATGATCAAGGCTTAACATAGACTGTAGGTTATGTGAATTATTATATTAGTATTACCGGTAAAAATCCGTTACGTGCCCACAACTCTTTTTTCCAGTTACACTTCTATAACTTATTGAAACATTTTATAGGTAATAAATAATGAAAATACAATATTCAGAAAAGGTTTTTGAGTTCAAGAAGTTTGGTTGGGTTAGGTAAGGTTATAACAATGTCATCTAACCTAACCTAACTTAACCAACCAAAATTCTCAAACAACGTAAAAGTTGCAGTAGTTATTCTAATATTTTGTGTGTTTTCTCCAAATTTATATACTGTAGCGTATGATCAAGTTTCGATTAAGTACCTTTTCCAAATATTGTATTTTGTATTAATGCCTATAAAAGAAACCAACTGTTTGTTTTTATTACCTATAAAAGGTTTCAATAAGTTATAGAAGTGTAATTGGAAAAAATAGAGTTTTGGGCACGTAACGGATTTTGACCGTATTACCAACTACCAATTGGGATTGGGACACCAGCTACCGTACGTGTGTAGCCCAAATTAATAGTGAAGGATGAATATTAAATGAAGTAAGTCTTGTGTAACATTGTTACTGACTTAAGACCAGCTCTTTTTTTAGCCATGGCTATGTATTAAAAGGACAGTTTGACCCTATTTTGAACCATAAAAAACTCCTCTCAGGATTGAAGGAGCAACCATGACCAAACGAGCACATAACTCAGCTACTTAGTTAACACAACTATGTATAGTGTTTAATAAGTAAGTAAAAGTAGAATTTGGGATTTCATTTAAATGTTTATGTTGATGCTTAAGTACTTAGGCTCTTGCTGAACCAAGACCCGGTGGATGAGGCTACAAGTCTGAGCCCTGCAAACGGCCATTGACAGCAACCCCGCACCATCCCGGAATGGGGATACGCGTTCACGCTTACGGATAGCGTATAGGAAACGAATTGCGGAGTTCAGCACGTTTTGCAATTAGGGACATCTCTTCCCTTGAGATGCTGTGGCCGTATGCAAGAAAACAGTAGTGGAGCACTGACAACACTAGTGACTGTACCAGCTGCAGCTTGGCTGTCCCTGGCAGGATGCTTTTGTACCGGTACAGACCACGCAGCCTTCCCAAAGCCACCTGGGAAACCACTGAATTATTCTCACCAGATCAGAGTTACTCTACCAAACCACCTTGTGTAGTAGAAACCCTCCATATATAACATTTTGGGTGTCTTTTGGTATTTCAGAATCCGGCAAATGGTGGAAAGATTTGTAGAGGCTCGATTTCTTTCCTCTCCTCGTGGACCATTCTTGAAATAATGACGAACGATACGGACTTAGCTTAGGGATTGAGTTAGTTATGGGGTGGGTGTTTGCTGAGTAATATTAAAAGACAGACCAAAAGCTTTATTTTTTTTAAAGTAAAAAATAAACAATTTTCAATGTGCTATAGCGGAGGTTATTTCTAATCGATTTTCAAGTGTGAATAGTGCATTTTGAAGGACATTTTGTCAACTTCCATTTTGTATAGGGGTCCAAGTCACTAGAATTCGAAGTTTTCAACTTATAACATGAAAGCTTAAAAAAGTGCAAAAATTTCGCTATTTTTTGTGAATATCTCGGAACGTTCCAGAAATATTTGTTGCGCCCCAAAAAAACATAGTTTTTGAAAAAATCCTCGGACGCCATTTTTGTCCACGTATGGGCGATTTTTACAACGGATTGACCGGGCTGATAACTTTTGATGCTATTGAATATCATAGAACCAACTTTTGTAGTTAAAACAGCTGGCAAAAATCATTAGTTAATTTTAAATATGAAGATTAATAAGGTTACCATTGGAATCTCCAGAGCCACAGCGGTGGAGCCCGATGAGATCTTTGATATAAGAATATGTCTATATGTTAATCGGGAATGTAAGCTATTATTATCATACCAAATTTCAACTCAATCCGACCAGTAGTTATGCGTAATTGAACTTTAAACAAACGAACATACAAACAAAAAAACGAACAAACTTTCTCTCATTTTATCATATTACCTAGTACTAGATGTTAGTAGTCCTGGTATTAGTATGAAGTATGATGTATATTATGCATAAATATGTATACTATGCAGAAAGCGTTTTGCAGTACAAAACGCATTTCCATTCAATATTTAATCTCAAATCAATCTCTGTTAAGTCATCGCCACTTTTGATACTGAAAAATGACAGTACAACAGGAAAGTAGAATAAACAGGTCGTTTGCACTTTCTCTATTTATACTAATGCATATCGTTCAAGTGATAAACTTTAAATTCGATGAAGTTCATTAAGTAAGGATCCTTCCTTACTGGCAGGGTGGTTGATTAGATGGGATCCTTTGATATCGGATTTTCCCGACTATGGAAGTAACTATTACGGTACCTTAGTCAACATGGTGATATCAAAGCTCGGATCTTTGATACAACAAAATGTTACATAATGAACTTGTACAAATGAAACTTGGCATGAGGTTGCATGTGCTATTGCGATCGAAAAGCCTTTTGTCAAGCAATGAGATTTTTGAAGCCTGTAGGTTTTGCTGCTACAGTATTTGCTTTTTGTTTATAACTGGTATTTATTTGATCTATTTGATGTATAATTTGACTGCTCGCTAGTTAAAAAATCATTTCTCATTCAATTCGACCTAATCAACTTCTTGGGAAACATTTGTTAGCGAATTGCCCGGATTTCCATTCCAACAACAGCAGTATGTGGCATGTATCTCTGTGAGCAAAGAACTATTAGCCCAGGTGGAAATAATTCCCTAAATTTGGAAACGCCAAAAAAATATTTTTGTGTCTTCTTCAACTTTTGTTTCAACAATATTTCTGTATTTCCAACAGTTAGTGAAATATGGTCAGAAGGCAGCCGTAGCACAGTGTGTTTTATGTTATGTTTATACGTGTTGTTACTGGGTACTAGTACCACGCATATGCGAAGTTTCTCCATTTAGGGAATAATTTCCAGGTATTTTTACCTAATATGACAGGACTATAATGGCAGACTATAATGTGGTTTCACAGCTCCAATTTCGCAATAATGTGGTATACATCAATTGCACTTGACAACTATACAAAATTAAGTTATAAACTCCAATATTTTACTGTGATCGAATCAATTATGAAAATCTTTTACTAAACACATTCCAGTATTTTGTTCTTCTTTCTAATCCCAGGACGTTATATTCCTTCTTCCTATCCCAAGACATTATATTGCTATTCTTTCGTAAATCACTAGCTAACATATATTTACGTGCATTTATTTAAGTACTGTAATTAAAAGGTTGGCCAACAAGCGACTGACTAAGCTCTACTACGTGTGTGTTCTTCAGCTTCCCGTCAGGTAACCAGCTAGTCTACAAGTGACTAGCGACTATGTGACCTGCCCTGCTTCACTATGTTTTTACCCTAACTGAAGTTTTGCGTGTTTAGTGGCTGTAGTGGTCGCATTCTTCATCTGCTGGGCGCCGTTCCATGCTCAGCGCCTGGTCGCCATCTACGGTGTGGGTTCAGGTCAAGAGCCTGTGTCGCCGGTCGTCCTGCACGTCTACGTGGTCGTCACCTACCTCTCTGGCATCCTCTACTACGTGTCAACCACCGTCAACCCCATCCTCTACCACATCATGTCTCTCAAGTTCCGCGAGGCGTTCAAGGTAACAAATGTCATGATTTACCATTTTACTGAGGAGGGTGTAGGATGTTTGTGGTTCAAATTCAAATTCATATATTAATTTATGATAATACTACAGCTTGGCCTCACCAAGTTTACAAAACTTATCGGAGAGGTCCAATAGATACACAAAAAGTAACAAATGAAACTTATTTTTTTTCCTTTTTTACAAAAATGTTTCTACCCCCACTAATTCCGTGGCAGTTCATTGGAGCCACCTGTCTATACAGAATAATATGATCATTCATTGTTGCAACAATTTACACGTGACAGCTAAATCAAATTGTGGCGTTCTCATTGCCCCACCCTGTAGAATCGTTTGTTTCTTGTTTCCTACTCGTTTGTTGAATTGTAACATAACCTCTCACTAAGAAAAGTTATGCCAATTTCCAAAGTGCTCATTTACAACAAACCAGATAAAAAAAAGTTGAGTGTTGAAATATTTTTTTTGTGCGTACTTCAAACATTGTTTCATAGACTATAATAGGTATATAAGAGGGATTCAGTATCTATATAAGGACTTTTAGGACCGTAAAAGTCCTTTACATAAGCAGGTTTTGATTTTGTATTGATGTTTTACTAAAATCCATACTAAAGCAGGCTGTAGAGTGTTTCTTCAGAGTAAGATTATCTTGTTTCTAAAAATATATTTAGAGGGTACTATTTTATCCATAATTTAATATGTTTTGTACATTGTGTATTGCTGGGATTTAAATTAGGTAATACATTACAATCGTAAGTGGTAAATCCGTCATAATTGTATAAATTGCGTTATCTACCAAGTGTTTCTTGAATTAGCTGACGGTTTTGATTTACAGAATTTGAAATCTGCTTTAGGCAAGAGACATTGTATCCCTCACTCAGAAATTGGTTAAGACAACATTGATAGACATTATTAAGACATCTATATTCTCGTACAATTTTTCTATAGAGAGAAATTTTCTTGTAGAAAATTGATAGACATTTAGAAATCCTCTACATTATGGAGACTTAGCATTATATAAATTGAAATCAGTAGTTTTAAAGGGATTGGATCACTTAGCATATGGAGTGGTTGAATCAAGTTAATTCTTCATATAGGGATGACTCAGAGGCTTACGTAATAAACAATTCCGTTAGGACTCATGTTGTCAGGGCCAAATATTTGTCTAAGGAATTACAAATTGCAAATCGTTCAAGTCATTTGAAACTAAGAAAAGATTTACCAAAATGTTGGCCGATATAGGTGGACAAGTATTCACTTTAATATGTGTGGGTTATAAAAATGTATTGATGTGTCTGAGTGAATTGGAAATTTACCTCTCACCCACTTTTTTGTTTTGTTTTAGCAAATTTCCCCATAGGGAAGTAGCTATTACCGTAGGTGGTATGGTAAGACCTAGTCCCCAGAAACCAAAAACACCATTCGTAAAAATTGTATATACATAGTTACCTCTATAAATGTGTTCGTGAACGTGATAACTTGTGTATTTTTCCAATTTTGATGAAATTTGGCTTGAAGGTGTAAGGAAAGATAAACTTGAATGAGTTCGAGAACCAGCATGATCGGTCCATAGAAACGGAAACGAGGTTCAACGGGGGGTTTTATGGGGTGAAAATGGGGGTTTCCCCCAAAACACAAGGTTTCCCAATTTCTCACTAGACCTTCCTGCGATGTTATTCCTAAGGAGAATATTGTAAAATGTTCTAGTTTGCTTGTTTATGGATATATTTTGATCAAACTTGGTAAATTTATTTATTTTATACATTACATATTAATAATACATATATTTTACAAAAAACACACTTAATTAGTTTCCCTGTAGCAGCAAACCTAGGTGCACGTTAGACCTAACGTCATTTAAATAGCTTTAATTGAAAATCAATTTAGGCAGATGGAAATTCGCTTAGTTGGCAGGTTTGCTGCGGCGGGATACTTATAGTCTATACATTATTCATTCTGTAAATGCGATTAATGCCTGGGCGATGTAGAGAACACACTAACGCAAGCAGGCCGTGCTCTGTTGTCCGGACAGGACAGTTTGTGCCGGTGCTGCTGTGGTGCGACCGGACGACGAAGCTACTCCGTGCTCTCTAGACAGCAGAGGGCGTTCAACGGGCCAGGTTCAAAAAGCGTGACTGCCACAGACTCACAATCTGCCCCCTCCCACTCGGACAGAGGAGACTCTAGTGTGAAGGGCCAGGTGAGGATACTATTTATTAATTTGTTTATTCATTCATTTATTCCTTCATTCATCCATTCATTCATCCATCTATTCATTCATCCATCTATTCATTCATTAATCCATTCATTCGTTCGTTCGTTTGTTCATTAATTCATACATTATTCATTATTCATTACATTACTCATTCATTATTCATTACATTACTCATTCATTCATTCATCCATCCATTCATTCATTCATTCATTCATCCATCCATCCATTCATTCATTCATTCATTCATCCATTCATTCATTCGTTCGTTCGTTCGTTCATTCATTCATTCATTCATTCATTCATTCATCCAACCATTCATTCATTTATTCATTATCGTTCATTTTTATTTACACAGTATATATATATATTTCTTTATTTTTATTAATTTATTTATACAATTTTAATACAGGTAATACCTCTGCTAATTTATTGAATTTGCCCAAATGTTTTTGTTTTAACTTCAGAAAATTTTATTTTTGTCCGCTTTTTGTATTATGGCCCTGTACAAATTGTACATTTCTGAAAAGGGAATTAAATTTCCATCCTTTTGGTCTTTTGTAATATTTGTATTAATACTATGGTTTATGAGATATTAAGCTTTAAAAAATAAAAAGGACCGCTATTTTTAAATTATACAAAGTAGAAACTTGATGCTATGCAAAAAAAATAGTTCCTATATGTCATCATACACGTACCAATTTTGAACTTGGCACCTCAAGTGGTTCCAAAGTTATAGGAAGTTATGTAAAAAATACATACACATTGCCAGACGGAAAACGAAGCGAGATAAGGCTTATGCTTAGACAATATTTGTTTTTTGTTTTGTCCTAAGAAACATGCCCACTGAGTTTCGGGAGAGAGTTTTGAAACACCCTGTATTTAATATGAAATATAATTCAGCCGTTTAATTGAGGTTCGTGCTCTTAGGAGGGAGCGTAGCGAAAAAAAGCTGTATTTTTCTGTGAAGTTTCGCTTAAGACCTTTTATTCAATTATGGGCTTACGGTTTCCCAAAAGTTTGTAATTCTAATTAGATTTATCATCATCATACTGATCTTACTAATATTATAAATGTGAAAGGTTGTCCAAAGTTATTGTGGATTATGTTATTTTGCCATAAAACCCCCATAGTAATGGAAATTTTTATTTTGGAAAAATGCCGGTTTTGATTAAAATTAGTAAGTTATGGTCCTTAAAATTTTAAACAAAATGTTACTGATCCCATTTTCGTAAAAAAAGTTATTGCACTTATGTTATTTTCCCTTAAAACCCCCCATTAAATAACAAAATATCGGATTTTAGGAAAACAGCTGGTTTTGATTAAAATTATGTGTTATGGTTCTTATAAGCTTAGATATGCTTTTGTTTGTTTTAGTGGGTTGAATGCTAGAAAACAGGGAACTTTTTACTGTTTTTACTATTCAAACTGAAATTCTTAATACATGCCGACTATCTATGTTTAAAATGTTCAAAACACCATGTTTTGCAGTCTTCAAACCACCAAAGCACACATAAGCAGTCCTAACGCTCAATAGTGTAGCATATGGTTGGAAATCTTTTAAAATGGCGTAGTTTTTAACATGTTTGGCCACCTTCTTATATACAGGGTGTAGAAAAATGCAATGTTTTTTTTTAATTCGTATCAAACACCTTATTTTTTTCTTTAAATCTATTTACAATGGAGTTTTTACAACTGATCCTTAGTCATTTTCTATTATTCTTATTCAAAATTTAATGTAGAACACGAAAATGACATTATCTACTGAAATCCGTTTACAGATAACTAAAAAAATTGCTGTTTTAAGTTTAAAAACATGGTTTTTTATAACTTAAAATAATTCTTTGGGAAGCTAATTTTTACACTTTGAACCTATTATATTCATCATCACTTAATTTACTTTGTACTTACACAAAAAAGATTTTTGTCACAATGAGTACCAATCACCCTGTATGTATATTATTTTCACTGTGGTCTCACGTGGTATAATCACGTGCTTTATTTAAATTAAAAACCTGGTTAAATCGTGTTTCGAAAGAAATTCAAATTACAAATAACTTAAAATACAATAAAATGAAAAACACTAATAATCTCACAGAAGTCGGAGAGTAGCTACATAACACCAGACATCATGGAGACGAGGTTGGGCGCGACCGAGAAGACGACCACGATGTCGTGCATATCGTGCCTGCATCGCGAGACAACTATGGAGCAGTACGTGGTAACTGACCAAGCGGGTCTTGGTAATCATCACGAGACTGACCGCAACCTTCACAACAACATCAGCAACTCCAGTCTGCAAGATGTGGACCACGCTGAGCTGCAGAAGGAGTTAGAGTTGTACATGCAGAACATCTCCAAACGGTACCACGACAGGTATAACTAGGTATGGACAGTTTTTTATTTCTGCAGGTCAGACATAGGGGTTGTGTATTATCACTTAGATAAAATGCATTGGTGATTTGTGGAAGGGGGGGGGTTGGAACCAGGGACCAAAAGCCCGCACTCTACCCCGGATGAGCTTATGATAATGTCATTTTTTATGCATAACAGTTGCTGAAGCTAGGCTGCTGCTTGCAGGGCTTCGGTCTTCGAGGTCCAAAGTACAAATTCCGTCAATCCCCAGTGGCATTATGTGATAATATCAAAACCTTGTTTTAGAAGTTTGCTGTAAGAGAGAACCTTGAGGCCCTATGTTCACCTCAATGAAGGAGAATTGTCATTTCGTTCACCCACAGTCCTACACTGAAGTAATTTGTAAAACAGGGACATTCTTCATCATTCAAGGATGAAGAAATAAAAGAAAACTGTAAGAGTCAGTGATCAAACAATAGAAGTTATTTTCATTTTTTGTAATTTCCCATTATATATATTAAGATTATTTCATAAATGTATGTCTTACCACACAGAAACATTAAAAAAGTGAAATATGCATAAGTATATTTTAACTATTCCTTCAACATAGCATTGTAAATTGACTTAGTTTGACGATCAATCCAGGGGATATATCGATACAACAAACAAATGTGGCAAAAATTAAAACAAACTGTCATCACATAGTCGTTTCATTTCTGTACATGCAAGCATTATTGAACATTTTTGCATAAAAGTATCAATTCAACACGTAACAAGCATTCAATGCACACTTTTACTCTTTCATAACGTCGTAACAACTTTTTTAAGCTTATTTACAACCTGTTACTGTAAATACTTTAAGTGGCAGGCTTAGGTTTTCTTAGATTATCGAAATATTCTCTTTGATACAATATTTAGCTTTTTTCTTAAATATTTCCAATGTACTTAACGATCAAATTAAACACAATTTTTAAATAAATGTGTAACAAAACAAATCGAGCTTTTTTCTTCTTAACTATTGTAGTAAAATGCTTTACACAAGCTTGATGTAGACTTGAAACGTCGTGGCATAAAGCCGTAAGCCGATTTGAACTCTATTGAGATTTGTATTATTCTGCTCTTGCTTTAACATTTATACAACATTTAAGCTCGGCTTATCTACAAGTTGAGCCTCAAGCGCACGAATAAGGAAATAACGATTGTTACCACATGTCTTGTAGAAATTTATATCAATCACGAACGTCAGTATATGTATGAAGTTTTCAAATAAGCAATTATAATAACGATCAGAAGGTCATTGGAAACAAATTAATTTAAAACTGAATTAAGCTGAATTGATTTAACTGATAATAATCATTTTCAAAAGATATAAATTGTACACAATCGGGACAACAGAGTCTATTTTCGAGATATGCGGGGAGCGAGCTGGCGTAGTGGTTAAAGCGCGGGACTTCAGTCACTGAGGCCCCGGGTTCGATCCCCGCCAAGTCACCAATGGATTTTATCTAAGTCATAATGCCGCAACCCAAAGTCTAGCCGAAAGTAATGTGAAAAACAATCCCAGGCTCGTGCGTCCTAGGATAAAGAAAATTTCGATATATGCAATAGAGTTTCTTTGTAGAAAATCATTGTGTCGTGAGTGATAAAATGAAATTTATTGCATGAAATGTAAGAGTTGTTGAGCTTAAATTAAATTTTTGAACAACATTAGAATGTTAAGTATTTCAGTGTGTGTTAATACTATTTTTAATGTTGGCTATATGTTTTGCAAATTTTCAGTTATTCAGTGTTGGCTAATCTTCGGCTCTCTGTCATCAAGTTCTCCTCTCCGTGGATGGTGACTGTATTCCATTAAAATACTGTGATTTTTTATATTGTACGCTTGTCCTAGTTTATTTATTTTTCCTAAGTAAGATAGGTTATTGTATTTTATCATGCTAAGTCTCTTCGCCTCTTGTGCGCAATCATATTAGATCTTATTAATGTAACAAATGTGTATTTAAATTCTTCAAAACATAATATGCAGTTTTTGCGTTCACACAACTTTTTCAGATTCTTATATTTTTTTTAATGTTTGTACTTGCATTTAAAAATAATGATTTCATTAATAATTGTAAACATAGATTAAGTCTCTGTTCATTTTAGAGCATTTAAATTCGTTGTCCAGTGTTTCCAATACACTTCCTCTATGATGTTAAAATACCTTAAACCAAAAAAATAGGATAAGATCACTTTATTAAAACAGCACAGACTTAAAACAAAACGTTCATTTTTATATCATGGATTTTTATACTATGCACCCTGCCTTAAATGAGGGTCTAAGATAGTTAATAAATATTTAACTAGTTTTAAATTCAAGTATTTCTGTGATAAGAAAATCATGCATTTTAAGGGTGCGCTCTACCTCAGCTCGGAAATCTCAGTTCAGGCTTCAGTTGCTATGTTGCACCATTGGACAGCGCTGCGAGAAGCACTTGCAGAGGTTTCCAAGATTACTGTTTTCGAATTAACTAATAATGATAGCTACGCACTCTAAACGGCTTCTAGTAGTGCAAACACAAATCTATAGTTCTGCGTTATTCAAATTTTCAAATAACGTTTTTCAATAAGTTATGGCTAGTTGAAAAGACCCTTTATCTTGTTCTTCAAATCATGTTTATAAGGTGTGTATTAAAAATAAATGAAATAATAAAACGCAAAACTATAGAAAATTTCATCCTCTTTAATATGAGACCTTAACTTTGATTCTGCTTTCAATGTAGCAGGTGAGAACAGTAATCTTGCAAACCCTTGCATTCGGTTGCGCGTCAGGGGAAAATCTACGTCAAAATATTGATCTATAGGTCGGCCGCTTAGCGTCCTCCTCTTAGCATTGGTGCGAGAGATAGATACCGAGCTGTAGGAGTGAGACAGACTATGGCCACAGCCACCTCTAATACATGTATTAAAGGTGGCTGTGCTATGGCTCTTCCGCCACTCTGCTGCCGCCCCATCCCCAACCTTCCCGAACACAGCTAATCATATTAAATTATACAACTGATCAAAATGTAAACAATTACGTTCTTCATAACTTGAGCAAAATAGGTCCTGCAAAAAATCTTGTATAGCCTAAATCACATCAATATTTTTGCATCATGAAATGTTATTATATCATTGTGTAAGCAGTTCCAGTTCCATTTGGTATCACAGGATTCCAACTCCCACGACACCGGGGCGGCGCCGTGTCGGTGTCGTGCCGGTGTCGTGTCGTGCAGTGTGAAAACGGCCATAGGCGGAGAGGAGGAACATATCCTCCCTCACCGTTACCTCCCCTACACGCACTAAAAATTTCACGCAGGTCGTTTTCTAAACGGCCGACCTATGGGAGCTTTGCATCCTAGCATTTTGTATTGTTGATTAATAATAATACATTTATAATATTAGTAAGATACCTGGGGTTACTATTAAGTAAATGCTGCAAAAACTCATAGAGTAATGTTCTGTGTTTTTATTTTTTAATCCTGAATCTTGAAATCATAAAATACGAAACTAAACATACATAATGTACCATTTTCATACATGAGCCTAAGTAAACGTTCTTATTAACAAAATAACTTTAAGGGTAGTGACAAGTATTTTATCTTATATAAATTGTATGTCTCTATTATGGTTTATCTTTCTTTGTACTACATTTATTTATTTGTCTAGTAGTAGTTTGATGCCATTTTATTATGCTACGATGTTTTCAAATGCATTTCACTACTCTCTAAATGGACTGTTGGTGTATATTGGCTGTGTACATTTTACTTGATCATAAATATATGTTTGGATGTAAAACAAGATATATATGTCACCCTCGCTTCAATAATAGTCATACTTTGGTATTTTTATGGATGAAAAGCAAAAAGGCTAATGTAAAATTTAATTGGCATTGGCAAAGTGCCAATTAGCTACGAAAAAGAAATCTTTACAACGATATTTTATTGTAATTAATTAATTTTTAAATCTCCATCAACTTAGAAACTAAATATTAATTTTACCACATGTTATTAAATAATTAAAAGTATTTGGACATGAGTTAAGTCTTTAGCCTTTTTGCTCATTCATCCTTACCACTGACATAACTTAAAGTTGTTGAGATGTAAACTCTCTATTGTTGTAAGGTAATTGTTTTTATTGTAGTTGTTTTGTACAGTGTTTAACGTTTTTTACTCAAATATATGTATATTTTTTGTATGTCAATTCATTTGTTCCTGTCCTAAAAACAATAAGTGATGTGATATGCTATAAACTTGAAAATATGTTCATTATTATTTTGGACATTATTAAAATATAAACTTCACAATATATCTTATGTCTACATATAACCATAGTCTATGTGTTTTAATTTTAAATTAAATCGATTTCGAAGCAAAAAACATAGTACAGTATAATAAATTAAAATTGCAATTTATTTAAAGGAATAAAGGTAAAATTTTGTCGGAAATCTAGAATTTTTACTATTTAATTTCAAATATCTTAGAATCTTTACATTCCAAAAGATCACCTCACATTCTAAAGGTATGTGTTAATTGACCATCCAGCATACACCACAACTCTATAAAAGCTAGTACAGGGTGTTTTTTTAACACGCACCCCAAATAAAAAGGTCTATTAGCCACATTGTATTTATAAAACAAGCGTGTGTGTTGGTGTCCCCGTTTTCTTTACATCATTGTTGATCAGCCGATATGCGTTGTTGCATAGTAGTTGTCTACGAGGCTGTTATTGGGAATTTATTGTAACTCACAATTAGTTTATTGTAAGACTCGCTATGTTTCCCCAATCTTGAAAAGTCAGAATAATAATATATTGGCAAATAGTTTTATGCCAAGAAAGGGTTAAAATTAAGATTCCATGTGTTATTCCCTTACCTAATAAATCAAGTATTTTTGACATATACAAATTTCAATAAACAGGATTCGAATTTAATGAGACCGCAAAATCCTAGATTTAAGTGAAAATCAAATCAGGCAAATGGAATTTCGCTTAGTCTGCAGGTTTGTTATAACGGGGGTATTTATTTTGTGTATCATGGGTTCGGTTTCCTCAAATTTTTAGTTAACGTTTATCGTTAAAATATGTGCATCACAGTACTTTTAATTTGGGTCAAGAAAAAAAACAACTTAAATGTTTTGACAATATTAAGTAATATTGGCTCAATGTAGGACGATTTTCTTGCCAATAAGGTGGATATCAACGAAAGAAGCTAGAAGCCAGTGCATGTTCTACAACAAAAAACCAATAATTGGGTGTATTACAGGTAATAATCTTTCCTACTCAGTACTCATCTTTCGTATATTTTCTCCTTATCTCGCTACAATTTAAAATGAAAATTAAAACAAAGCCTCCTAATACTTGTCACTTTTGCTCCTCAAAATATATCCTTACGTATGAAAGCAGAAAAAATAACTCGCAGGTAAATGGAAAGAATCCATGGAAAAGACGTTATATTGAAATAAGATTGATATCGGTAATGTGTTTGTGCACTTACAAAACGATATGCTTTCAAATAAGGAAAACCTTGTGAAGAGCAACCCTTTAGGAATTTATTATTTTTCAACTGCAATACTTTCGATGAAGTCTAATAGAATCTTACGAAGTACATAGTATATACTCCATGTTATGGAGGAAATTGTATAACGTACCATGCAAATACACTAATTGTCTATACAAATAATTCTCGATTTAGTTAGCTAAACTTTGTGAAACTCATTTAGGGTGCGATAATTTATTATTTTTAAGTGGAGTACACTTTGAATTTAGGAGGATTTAATTGGTTTGATAAACATAAAACCGATGTCAGTTATAGTTTGATCTAAAAGTATGACGTGCTTTTATCTAAGGGAATTCTAGATACAGATTTATTTTTCTCCTAGAGACTAATTGTCTTTAGGTGAACTTACAGTTCAAGTGTCTTGCCTCTGTAAGGATGTATTGTCATGTAGAGAGTTTAAGAGCTCTTAACCCTTGTCATTTCACAGAAATTTCAGTGTATTTTCTTGTTCGTGTTTACACTAATAATGTCTACTACCAATTTTTACTTCCTCCTCCTATACGTAACATGTGGAGAAAGTATTGTTTTTGACAAATTTTGGTTTCGAAACGATGTATGTGGATGTGTATACAGCTACAGAGTATACCTGTGGTCCGATTGTAATTAAATATGGTATGCGGGTACCAATCAATGGTATCCCAACGCTTTTGTTTTTTGAAAATTTTAATCTGTAATCGGGACTTTCTTATAAAAAACATAAATTAACGAACAAATCTTATTTTCACATAAACAGCTAAAATTATTTAGAATAAAATTTAGTATTATAAAGTCTCGCAACTTTAAACAAAAAGTACAACCCCTAACCCTTGTGCTGTAAAGATTTAAGCTCATAGTTACTCCAACCGCTTGCCTATGATGAGAGTTGTTGGCAAGCTAGTGGGAGAAAGCTTTCTGTATATTCCTTAAATTTTTATACATTTTTGCCCCACTTAAACGATCGATACAGTTTGACATAGGCCTGTTTTAGGCTACATGCATATTAAATCTCACTCGCCTCTTTTGATCTGTATTATGCTTTATTGTACATTGAAATGGATTACGTTTCAAGTGAATGATTTATACCTCAGTATGAAACCAAAAGGCCGCAAAAATATGTTTATGCATCATCTATAATCGACAGACAATATTCATTTAAGTAGTGGAAACCCCATCTATTCCGCGTTTATATTTACATTAATAAGTTAAAACAAAAATAACCTAATATCTCTTTAAGCTTTACATTACACACTCAAATATAATACGTTATAAATACAACTTCTGGGAAATGAATTTAATATTATTCCTACGGCTGGATGCATAGAAATGTTTACAGCTTTTTTCATAACTATTTAAAACATTGTTTCCACTTCGTTGGCTGGATCTGGTAATGAATAAATTACACGCAGGGATGGTTAAATTATTAACTTTGTAATTGTTATTTCGTGATTTCCCTTTTTTGTTTTAACGAATTACTATGAATGAACAATATAGGCAAGGTCTCACAACTGAGCAGCATTTGATGAATACTTATATATTTCAGAATTTTTGCAAGTCT